TACGCGATCACTACCACACCTTTTCAACCAAAGTAACTGTCCATTTACCGCGATTATTCCATGGTATGGTGCCTCCTCACCCTCGGGCAAAGGCAATATCCTCCAACATGGTTCAGTATTGTTGCTACCTACAGATAATACCCAAAAGCTTCCACCAAAATTCCATCCCACAACCTTATAACTATTTGAATTTGCATCATAAAGCAACCTACAATTCAAAAAACGTATTGATGGAATAGGAAGTAGTATACAACTTTTTGTTGTAGGATTGAGAAGATAATAATCTTTACGTTGATTACCAAAACCTTGATTAGGATAAATAACTCTACCCCTACCATGAACAGTAGTCTCTATCACAAGCAAACAATCACAAGAAGCCATTAACTCAAAAAAAGACTTCCTTTTAATGATATCTTTTATGTTTAGCTTGAATGACTCCTTATTGTAGTCAATGTCATTGTAATAAATAAAGAGTACTGTTGCGTTTGTTATATGAGACCTGCCTGTTAGACTCGGTTTTTGTCCGGTTTTACTCGGTTGTCGCCGATCGCGTCCATTCTTGATGTCTTCCGCTCCAAAGCCTTCCGGACACTTGTACAACAAGACCTGGACCTAATACAAGGACTCATAACTTTACATCACATGTGAAATATCCGTTTTACCCTTGTTTGTCACAATTTACAAGATATAACATTTACAAAATTCAATTAGTAAATTGAAACCAAATAAAGTATTATTAGAAGCAACAGTTCTTAGATGGAGGAAGGAGGTTACGTGATGGTTTGTAGTAGCTGAATTGTAACGACCCGTATTCACCTTAGGGGTGTCTTAGTAATTTTATCTATAACCTTCAGGTATTATAATATTTAATGTAACCTTGACCAATTGATATTTAATAACTGATTGGACTTAATTAGAAAATTTTATAAATAAGAACTAATAGGTTATGAAACCCAAAACGTTTTTTATTAATTGTCTCGCAAATTCGCCATACACATAGGAGTTAATTTTAATATTTAATAAGAAGTGCCGAAGTGTAACTAAGAGTAGGGCTGTTATGTGAACCGAGCAGCTCGAGCTCGACTCGGGCTTGGCTCGGATAAAGCTCGGCTCGAGCTCGCTCGTTTAGTTAAACGAGCCGAATATGAGCACAAAAGAAAGCTCGTCTAAAATTTAGGCTCGGCTCGTTTCAAAACGAGCTGAACATGAGCATACCAAAGCTCGGCAAAGCTCGGTTCGAATACGATTATTATGTGTAATTTAGCCGA